GGTTATTCCCTCTATCTTACCCACTTAGTAAGTTCCTTGCTGGCAAGGAAATCCGTATGGTAATTTCTCACCTGTTGGTCTCAGTTTCCACAATGGAAGGAGTAGAAATTGTAAGACTTTATGAAAGGCTCTCAAGTGTTAAATGAGATAAAAATCAAACTCCCTGCCAATGTGTCAATTGTGAGTCATAACAGTGAACCCTGTAGGGCAGGGTAGAGCTGCCCCTGTGAGTTTCGGCGAGTTAACTGTGGGAGTAGAAAGCTTTGTCTTTCTCTTGCAAAATAGCTGGTAGTTTTGAACTACTGACTTTTTTTTGCTTAGCAGCCCAAAGCATAACCAGTATGCCACCAGGGCTCCTCGCCAAATAAGGCAGAGTGTGAAAAGCATCCTATTTACATAGATAGTCCTAAGGAAATCCTAGTATCTTCAGAAGCATACATTCAGGCATCCATGGAAGGAACCTAATAAATCTTTGAAAGGTAATTGTTGCGGGGGGGTGGGGGGGGGGGGCCGGGGAGTGGGGAATGTATTTATGGGAGACTCTGCCATACAGACTAGCCTGGTATTTGGAACTAACAGTGAAAACCTTCCATCAGAAACTTTACACCACTTAGCACGCCTTCATGCTAGACTGGACCCAGGAGCCCCGGGTGTCACATTTTCCCCAAGTGGTGCCCAAGCCAACCTGTCTGCGTTTAACAAGTTAATGAACAGCTAGTGAGTAAAGCTTGGCCTGCTCCAGCCGTTTAGAAGGCTGCCAGTCGGTTCAGACATCAATAAGCAATGCTCTCTGTTTTGTAGGATAGCCCATCCCAGCTGTATCTTCCCTAAGTGCTTCAGCGAAGCCCACCCCGGTGGACGGAGGCTGCAGCTCCGGCCTGGCCTTCCCCTAAGCAGAAGAGAGCCTGGCCTCAGATCCTGTGAGAGGATCAGTGAGTGGGGGCCTGGTATTCCGAGCAGCTCAGGTTTGGCTTCGGGCCAGGCATTGAGTGGCAAACAAGAAGGAACACATTCCGAGAAGGCAAGGAACCCTGCCAGCAGCAAGGCGGCGCAGCAGGCGTCAGGTGCGCGTCGGACACTCCGAGGGATGATGAACCGGGTTTCTCTGAATTATCGTTTCAGCAGCTTAACTGCCTCCCTCCCCCGTGCCCACCGTCCATGGACAAAGCACATGTAATTTGTCAAGTTGAACCCCTCCCGAAGCTGTGGTGGTTTAGTGGTCACGTGTTGGGCTGCGATCCACAAGGTCAGCAGTTTGAAACCACTCGCCACTCCGTGGGAGAAAGATGGGGCTTTCTCCTCTTATAAAGAGTTACTGTCCCAGAAAAGGCATAGGGGCCCTTCTACCCTGTCCTGTATGCATGCTGAGTCAGGATCAACTCGATGGCAGGGAGGTTGGCCTTTATTTTTGGCCTGGGGCCCCACAGTTCTCTGCCTTTTAATCAAAACTGGGAGGGAGATTGCTATCCTGAAGTCACATCGGCTTGCTGTAATAACGGACAGCGAGAAGTTGCTAGTCAAAAGAGTACGAGCCCCCGGAGAAGGCTGGAGAGTTCTGTGCCCGGGGGGGAGAGAGACTGGGCTCCCCACCCGTGACCCTTCTTCCTGGTCCTGCAGCATGCACACATATATACCCCTGCACGTGCTCGGGAGATTTTCCAGCTCTGCCTTCCTAGTGGTCTGGCCTTTCTGTCATCTGGAGAGCCCTGATCCATGTCTTCCTGTTAGGATCAGCTCAGCCCTTTCCCCAGGCTATGAAAGACAGGTGTGAGAGGGTTGAGGGAACCTAAGGGGAAGGCTGTTTGTTCAGAGGGGGAATGGCGACATCACCCAGCTGGAGAGTCCCCTCTTCTGTTGGACAGGAGGGTGCTTCCATGGCTTTGGGAGATTCCCACCCAGCAGGGCCCATTCTCTGAGGATCCAGTGTGCGCTTCACCCCTTGGGCAACGCGTCTTCTTCCAGGGCCTTTGCTGCCACCTAGTGGGCCGCTAGGCGTCCCTTCCCGCTTCCCTTCTAACAAGCCTGGGTTTGAGCCTAGCCATGGGACCTCGTCCAGTGGTGAGGCAAACAGGTGACCTTTCTCAGACGTTTCCTGCCATAGACTCCCAGGTCCTGTGGCCCCGCAGTTAGGAGAGACGAGCCATAGGAACCAGGTAGGAGGGCGGGCGGGCTGGCCTGGAGCCTGAATGGGGATGGTGGTCTCTCACTTCCCAGAGCACTGTGGGAGGGCATGCTCCCCGCGCTTCCCTCAGCTCTGGATGCCCTTTCCCCATTGGACTCAGGCCCGTGTTGCAGCATAATACACATTGCCCTCTGTTTTCCCAAATTTAAGGCAGTTCCATTTCCTTTATGAAGTTGGCTGACGTCAACGTAAAACAGATCTAGCATCATGTGCTCTTTCTATGCTGCTGCTATGGACCAGTTTCTGGCAAGAGTGAGAGGTAGGACCATGCGGCACACTTGTGTTGTGTTGTGTTGGTTCCTTACAGTCTGCAGATTGTCCGCTGTATCTTCCTGCATATCATACCCAGGTGCTATGTCCTCATAAGCAAGCACTTGTCCTCGGCAAGCACCCGTCCACCCTGCCATCCCCATGTTTTCAGCTCTAAGTTGCAGTACCCTGCAGTTACATAAATCTGAACTCACGTTTCTTGCCCACCTCTCTATCTTCTTCATGGCTCTCTTACTGATTATCCTAGCATTTTGCTGACCAACTCACAGTTCCACGGTCACAACTCTTTCCTGCAGCTGGGCACTTGCTAATCCCTCTGCTTAGCATGCTCTTTCCCCAGCTCCTCCCTCAATCAGTTTGTATTTCCTTTAGGCAGCAACTTACCTATATGTCACCTGGGAGTCCTCTTTTAACTATCTCATGGAAGAGCCTGAGGGCTCGGGGGCTAAGCATCATTCCTAACCAAAAGGTCAGTGCTTTCAGCCCACAGCCACTCCAAGGAAGAAAGATGTGGACAGTCAGCTTCTGTAAAGATTAAAGCCTGGGAAATCCTACTGGGCAGTTGACTCTGTCCCACGGTGGTGGTATAAATCAAAATAAACTGATTAGCAACAGCTATCTAAGGCCATCCCTGTTTGAGCTCATCTCATTTTCCTTCAGGAACGTTCATCATAATCTGCAGTTACCTTGTTTACACGGGTACTTGTTATTAATATTTACATAGAAGGTAAATCCCTTGGGAACCCAGACATTGTGTGATCCATTCACTGCTACATCCTCACTGTCTAGTATCATACCCAGCACATGGTCCAAGCTCAGTATTCTTCGAATGAATTCACTATTGGAGGGAGGCATCCTATAAAGAAAGGTGATGGTGTGGCTCAAATCAGATTTTAACTTTTCTGTGTAGACCGACCATAGGTTCCCAAACATCTTTGGCCTTTTCTGGGAAAAAGCCTGGGGAAATTAAAACCTTTTGTACGCCAGGCCATCATCCACATTCAATTGTAGGTTATCTGCTTTGGCAGCCCTGTGGGATTGGCTCCTCTCCTCCCCCTGGGGCTGTGCCACCCACTTAGGAACACTGATCCAGACGCTAAAAGAGCCCGGCTGGAGCAGTGGGGCAGGCATTGGGCTGCCCGCCTCAAGGTCAACAGTTAAGCCCACCAGCTGGAGAGTTTTCCACCTTCCCCCACCTGCTCATTGATCCAGCTAAAATTTTGAGATTGGCAGACGACTTGGGATGCTGGGAATGACTTGGGCGCCCTCAGCTGGGGAAAGACGAGGCTTTCTGTTTCCGCAGTTTTCAGAACCGACTCGATGGCAGTGTGTGCGTCACTTAGACCCTAATCCACAGCAAGACTACCCTGGCTCTGAGCTCCGGCTTTAATTCCCCAATCTGAAGCACAGTACAACTTGAACTAGGAGTATTGCTTTGAAGTGGCCCCTGAGAAGTGGCAATGCATTTCTACCATCCACCCAACAGAGACAGAGGCTTTGATGGTTTCCGGAAGCCACCACCCCCCTCCCCCATTGATTCACTTAGAACTCTGGGAATGACTTGGGCTCCAACTCTGGGAATGACGTAGAACTCTGGGAATGACTTGGGCTGCGTGTCGAGTGTGTCAGGAGACCTCAGTGCCCTCATTGAGTAGTCAGAGGGTAACAATGAGCATTCCAGACCACAAGACACTAGAAAAACAATAAAAAAAATTTTTTTATTTAAAAATATTTCCAGAGACTAATACCATAATGGAGCAACCGCAGAGGTGGCTGACCCAGGTTTGGGATATGAGGAGCAAAGCAAGTCTGCCTAAATACATACCGTTTGTAAATGAAGAGAGCAATTACACTGGCCTCAAGAGGACCAGGCAGGCTTGGGACACACGGGAGATGGAGAACACAGCACACCCATACCACCCAAAACACGCCCCCACCCCCACCCAGTCACCTGCCCTACAATAAGCCTCTTGCCCTGAGCCTGAGGCTATGGCTGGAGACCAGGTTCCCCAGCAACTTGGCATAGTCACCCATGACTTGGCGCCCCTAAGGCCTCCGGCCCAGCCTCGCAAAGCTTAGAGATTTGTTCTCCCTGCTCTTCAGGGGGCAAGGAGGAGTGTTTCACTGAAAATACAGTGGGGAAGAGCGATAAAGCGGGCGTCCGTCCAGCAGTCACCGTGGAGAGAGTGAGACCGGAGTTGGCCCTGGCACACAGAGATTTGGTACAAACAGCCTGCCTGGTCGGGCTCTAAGCTTACTCTTAGAACCTGAGGGAGCAAAGGACAGAGCACCCCCGAGTGTGAACTCATCGTCATTTGGATTTATCATAAACAAGACACACAATCAAGGCTCTGAAATAAATAATATCCATTTGGATTTCTTCCCTGATTAACTTTTCGGCCATCTGAGTAGGAGAATGATGGCAACGGTTGATGATGCCCTCTCTACCACCAGAGCTCCCCTGTAAGAGCTGACCCTAAAAAGGCACTGTCTTGCCAGGTGGAATCCAGGGAGGGTACACCAGAGTTTGGGGACCAAAGTAGAGAAGGCCTTTCCCAGGTCAAAGCCACTCTATCTTATCCCCACTTCTTTTGTCCCCACAGCCCCCTGACCTGGTCCTGACGATGCACTAGGTCCACCTTGGACACCTTCAACTTATTCACGGAGAACGAAACCCAAGAAGTGGAAGCCCTCCTCCGTGGCCTACAACAACACACTGACGAGAGGTGACACAGAGCTCCACCCTGTAGTGACCCCCACTCCTGCAGCTGCCCAGCCAAGCATCCCCAACAGACCGATGCTGGCCTTGTCTGAGCTCCAGGCAGTCCGAATATAAAACAAACCCTGAAGTCAGGGGCCCCCATCCAGCCTGCCCTTCCCATTTCTTACTTCCTGATTTGTGCACCACAAGGAGACCCTGTTCCAGGTCTGTGGCCACAGTGATCAGAGGCCCTGTTCTGCCTGCTTCCCAGAAGTACCCGCTGAGGACACAGCAGCCTAGAATCTTCTGTTCTTCCTGGTCCTTGCTACCAACCCTGTTAGATCTGGTATCTCAGATTCAGCCAGGTCCTCATGAGGGGCCAGCCCAGAGTGTGCACTGTAATTCTGGCTACAAGCCCTCGTCTTCTATTTATAAATGCCACCCACCTCCTTCCCAGTCAGCCCTGCATAGAAACCCTTTGGGCCTCAGAACAGGGACTCTTAGACACAGCACATTGGGAGGGGGCACAGCCCCTTCCGCTGCTGTGTGTTCTGGCCTCAGCCCTCAACTGAAGTGAACCAAAATGACAAGAAGCTGCATTCCTGGTATCGGAGAGCATGGCCTTTGTCCCTAGAGTGCCTACCCCCGGTGACAGTCTGGCACACAGGCAGCTCACCAGTGTGCAAGCTGATCTGCGCCCACCCCCATGTAGGTGGTTGCGGAAGCTTAGCATTCAGAATCCCACAGCTGGTCCCCAAATCCAGGTGTGAGTCTAGACTTTCTAGAAGCCAGCCCTTCAGATCACTCCTTAGAGGGGTGAAGAGTTGGGAAGATGCAGGATCGGAATATGTCCTTTACTGAATCTCAGCACGGCAGCATCGTCAACCAGGGGTCGTTGACAGCGCCTTAGCACCCGGAGAGTTCTTCTTGATACAAGTGGGAACAAAGGCGAAGCAGCGATTACCTGCACACAGGAAAGATGCCTAGATCAGGGGGGCCCAGAAGGAAGACAAACACGGCCTCTGGGCCAGTGAAGCCTTCACCCCCAGCAACCCCACCCCCAAAGGAGAAGTGAGGTCTGTGACCCCAAATTCATGGCTCATCCCTGCTCTGGACCAACAAGTCCACTTAGCCAGAGGGGGCCAAGTCCCCTGGGGAAACAGGCAAGCATGCCTTCACCCTCAGTTCTCGCCATGGGAAGCTAACAGCCTCACCTGTGTCCAGGGATTGGTCCATCCCAGTTCAGGGAACATAACCGCTGTTCCAGCTGGGAGATGCGGAATGCCAGGTAGGATGAGGACATGACCAGGAAGCAAATCCTGCAGGAAGAGGCGTTAAGGAGAAGTTGAACCGCTCTTCCAGAGAAAAGGTATTTTTAGAGACTCAATGGGAAACAGGCATGGGAACTAGCCCATCCCTGCAATAGGTGGAATGAAAGCGCCGTCTCCCCGCAGCCTTGCTCAGACGGGCCGCCGCCTTCCCGAGGGCTCTGCGATATGGCCCTGGCCAAAGCCGTCCTCCTGCCTCCCCTCTGACTGCCACCGTGGTCCTCCACTGCCTTGGGGAGGCCTTGAGGGTCAGATTCCCCCAGCAGGTGCTGAGGTCAACAGTCAAGCCAGCTGGCAGAGGGGGTGGTGGGTGAGGTAAGGGTAAGTTGGCATTAGTTGGTGAAAAAATATCACACCATGCTCACAATTCCGCTGTCCTTAGGTAAAGGGGCAGACAAAACAAGGGTTCCGGAAAGTGTCCTAGAGGTAGGCAGTGGGAAGGCCCCGCTCCTCCCAGCTATCTATCTGATGGCTCTTGACAGTTCAGCCCGCTCCCCTCGCCGCCCTGGGCAGGGAGGCAGCATGTAGACGGGACCCTTCTTGAAAAACATGCACATGGGGTTTGATATTTTACTAAGAGATTAAGGGAAAAGAAAGTCACAGCAGAGGCCCAAAGGCAGGAGTTGAAGCTCAGGATTCTGGATTGATCTAGACAGCACCCCCAAGTAACCTAAATTTTAGCACAAACCATTAAAAGAGCCCAGCCCTCCACCCACACACCCTGTGCAGCAACTTCCTAACAGTTGCCTGTACAGCCCCTTCCTTTGCCCCTGCGCAGCCTAAACCCCAAATTACAGGTCCTCACGAACAGAAACGGGAGACTCGCTCTTACTGCTGAAAGACCTGCCACGCAGCCTCCACGCAAATTGAGCAGCTTTAAAGTAGCGGTGGAAGCTTCTGTACAGAATCCCACAGCTGATCCCCAAATGGTCTTTTCAATTGCAGATGAGTCAGAACCTCCTCTGGCTCTGGATAATGATGTCTCCCCACCCCTCACCCCCAGACACACACACACACTGAGGCCCCTACGCCCAACACCAAGACACCCAGGTGGACCTGCCTCTCCCCGGGTAGCGTCACCTACAGCACGAAGAAGACCTTAAGGAGCCGGTAATCCCAGAGCCTCAGCTCCCCGTCACGCTGGAGCGCCGCCTGCAGCGTGTCCTCCTCACAGACTGCAGCCTCTGCAAGGGGAGAGCAGTTAGGCAGCTTCACCCCAGCCTGCCTGCCTCCCCTCCTTCCCTGGGACAGCCTGGGCCTGACTGGGCTCCTGACCTCCCCGTCTGGCTTCTAAAACCAAAACCAAATTCACTGCCCTCGAGTCAAGGCTGACTCACAGACTAGCAGCTTGGGGAGTAGAAGAAAGCCAAGGAGCCGCTGGTGGTTTGGAACTGCCAACCCTGGGAATCACAGCCCAAAGCTTGACCACTGCACCACCAGGTCTCCTTTATGACTTACGCAGAGTTGAGGTAAGAGCTCTCAGCAGCCCCTTCACACAGCATTGGGAAGAGGGAATGCCCGGCCTTAGTGAACCAGAGCCAGGACATAGCTGTGGGGTCTGTTGCAGTCTACGGTGACCTGCGTGGCACGTGCAGGGTAGCACCACTACACAGCATTCCCAGACCGACACCCTTCAGACTGCTGGGCCTTTCTTCCAAGGTGCTCCAGGGAGGGTTTGACTCCCTTCTAGTTAACAGCCACACATTTAGCCAGCTACACCACCCAAGGCTCTTTGTCATGGACACCAAGGCTCTTTGTCATGGACAGCCTCTTGAACTCACCAGACCCTGGAGGCTTCCTGGCGGGGAAGAAGCTGTCCGTGGAGTCCATGGAGGCCTGCCGGATACACGGGATGCTGTCTGGGAGGGACAGGGACCTGGAGGTATGGCACACTTTTCTCCACTTCATCTCAGGAATGAGGACTTCCTACAGAGAAGATGCGACAGGTTGTCTCACTCCAGGCCTCAGGGTCTTACATGTCCCAAGGGGCAGTACCAGATTTATCAAAGCGCTCATTCAAAATTACCAACTGATGTTTTGACAGGGGAGCTCAGGAGAAATAGGGCTGGGAAAATTAGATTTCCACATGTAAAACAATGAAGCAGGATCCACACCTCATACCTTTAAAAATACATATTTCTTTAAACAGATTAAGAACCTGAGCGTATAAACTAAAAGCATAAAACTCCTAAAAGAACCAACAGGGGCCACACTATCAGGCCTGGCTCTCAGACCTCATTAGAAGGATTTAATATTAGATGAATATAATAAGAACATAACTGTCAAAAGGAAAATAAATGAAATTTAAATTGAAAATGCTTGTTCATCAAGGCTTTACCAAAAAGACAAGCTACCAACTAGGTGACTAGCTTTGGAAACGGTATATCCTACCAAGATTCTAATCACCAAAATGAAGCTCACTCACTTAAACAAGACACATAACTCCTCTCTATAGTAGACATTTCACTGGAGGACATTCCAATGGCCCCAGACACAGGAAAAGATGCTCAGCTCTGGTGGTTTCGTGGGGTACGCTTGGGGCTATCAACCAGCTGCCCCAAGAGAGAATGATGGGCCTTCTGCGTGTTGAAGATTTGCAGTCTCAGAAACCTGTCCTGTGGAGACACTCTGAGTCGGCATCGACTCAAAAGCAGTGAGTTTCTTTCAGCACCACGGACCATCAAAGAGATGCAAAAATCAAACCACAACTAGATACTATTTTACGTGCACCAGGACAACTATGATTTAAAAAACAAACAGAAAATAGCAAATGTTGATGATGATGTAGGGAAATTGGTACCCTTGCCCACTGCTGGTAGGAATGCAAGATGGTACAGGGGCTGTGGAAAGCATGTGGCAGCTCCTTAAAAAAACTAGAACTACCACCTGGCCAGCAGTTTCACTCCCAGATATACACCCAAGGCTTGAACGCATTGACTCGAAAAGAGACGTGAATACCACTGTTCGTTGCAACACTGTGCACCAGCCAAAAGGTGGAAACAACCTAAATGCCACCAGCAGGGAAATGGATAAACAGAACTGATCCATGCATATGACGGAATAGTATTCAGCACGCTAGCACAGGGGTGGCGCTTGAAGACAGGCCCAGTGCAGGAAGACGATCGCAAAAGGACAAATGGTGTCTGATCTCACTTGCATAAAAAGACAAGGCAATGTACAGAGACCAAAAGTTATTCGTGATTACCATGGGCAGAAAAGGAGGGGGGATGATGATGATGATGATGATGAGAAAATCCCATCGAGGATAAGGTTGTACAGCCAATTGCTGTAATTGCCGTCAAGTTGTGTGATGGATGGACACATATTTACATAGATACAAACACACAAATAGCTGCTGAGGCTATTTGTGAATGTATAACCAGACACCTCCTGGGATTCGGATCCTTGGTTTTGAGGTTCGGGGTCTTGTTTATTGCTTCTGTTACCTCCTTCACCATGCCTAGGCTGGTGTTGGGTGCTGAGTTCGCTCTGACCCATAGCAACCCTGTGCACAACAGATGGAAACACAACACAGTCCTGTGTGATCCTCGCATCCTCCCTGCTAGCTAGCTTACCTCATCACCTTCAAGTTCACCTCCTTCACCATGGTCCCAGGAGACATGCTTTCAAAGACTGGTAGGACTGGAGCCACAGCGGCACATCAGACATACACCAACGTGGGTAAACACGCCAATCAACCAAGCCCCAAAGAGCAAGGCACAACATGGATCGTTGGGTCCTAAAAGTTTGCAAACAGCCATCAAAGGCATAATAATGGGTCTCCATTCACCAGAAGCAAGACAGAGAGCCAGGACTAGGAGGAAGACAATAGAAGGTGTGGTTCATTGTCTCCATGAATATCCGCCTCCAGAACTAGCTGGTGCCCAGTATCATTATTTCCTGAACATTTTGACTAAAGAGTGCATAGAAGAGTACTGATCGCTAGGGAGTGGGGGGGGGGGGAGAGTACTGGTCAAAGGGAGGGTGATACAGAAGAGAATTTCAACTTCTTAGGGACTCCAGACTTCCTAGATACATGAAAGTTGGACGAACGTCTGAAACTATTGCCCTGAGATAATCTTTAAACCTTAAAACAACAACAACAATAACAACAAATAGCCCCTGGAATCTGAAAACCAAACTGGTAAAAAAAAAGGTCTTTAGCATCATGCTCATAAATATTGGTCTGAGTAGCTAAAAAAGGAGGAAAAGTAAAACTGAAGTGGACTTGGTGTCTTTAGTGACATTCAAGTTCATTACAAACATGGAGGGGAGTGGGGAAAACCATCTATGGGATCAGATCTGAAACAGCAACCTACAAGATGAGACAGAAAATGTAGAGGGTAGTGAGGGGGGCACAAGTCAGAAAAGGAGTGTGGGAAGAGTTGCCCAGCTCAGAATATGATCGGGGTCCCTCACTGTACCTGGAGAAACTGTTGGCAAAGACAGCCTAGGAAACCCCAGGGGCAGTTCTGTCATATAGTCACTTTGAGTTGGAATTGATGTAACAACATTGTTTTGTAGTTTTTAATTTGTTTTGACTTTGCAACTATAAACATAAAAGAGTTTAGACCTACAGCACATAAATAAAAAGGGAAAAAGGCATTTAGACCTGGTTTTGTATTTGTATGTACATTTGATGATTTTTAAATATATCTAAAAAGAAATTACCAATATAGATGCCTACTCAGGGGCAGAAGCAGGTACCCAGGAGAGAACCATTGCTATAGCAACCACATCTCTCCTAACTGCTCTTTTAACTATGACCAGCCCCTCTGCCACTGGACCCCTCCCACTCTGCCATCCATACCAGCTCTCCCCTTGCCACCTGGACAGAGGAAGTATGAATAATATGAACAGATAGGAAACTGAAGGTCCACACGGAATGCTCTAGGTGTTTATTAGAATGCTATCAGCCAGTGCCTCACCCAATCCTGAAGCTATGGGGCTGGGCCTCCCTTCTCCCCCCACCCCAGGCTTCTCACTTGGCCTTCAAGCTCACCTCCCTCACCATGGTCCCAGGAGACATTTCAGCCATGGAAGCCAACTCAAGTCCATGCGCAAATCAACCGAGTCCAAGAAAGCACGGTACAACACAGATTATATTATACGGGTCCTTCGAATCCTGGCTCACACCTTACGCATGTCCCTGACCTTCAACAAAATGGGAACATTGCCTTCTACCCCTGCATGGTGCTGTACGCACATTGTGTTCTTGGCTAAACACTTAACAGTTACGGAAGGAGGCTTCAAAGCACCCTCGGGTCATTTCCACCCAAACGCCTGGCTCAGAGGCTCAGCTTTGCTTACCTAGGGCCTCAGCTGCTGAAGCAGGTCCAAATCTATCATTTGTTTGGTTCTACAGTGATAGCCTTTGGAGTGACCCCCCAGGGACATCTCTCTCCTCTAAAGGTCCACTGGGCTCAGCAAAGGAAAGATGGTGGGTCCCTAGACCTGTTGTCTGGGCAAGTTGGATCCAACCTGGACAGGGTTCCTGCAGTCAGACATCCGTTTTGCTCAGAAAGCCAGTATACCTGACCAGGACCTAGTAGCTCTGCAGGGTATGGAGCAAGGTGGGTCTTGGGGTTCCCCTTGGCCCAGCCTGGCCCCAGGCCCCTCATTCTGGGGCCCCAAGTCTGTACTGAGAGCCCTGAAGCCTCCAAGTCATGGGCAATGTCAAGGCAGTAGCGTTTTGCTTCTGGACTCAGTTCTCACCAGAGCCTCACACTCAGGTTCCTCCGGAAACTCCCTCACACTCAGACTCTTCTTGCTGGAAGGCTGAGGAGGAAAGGAACAGGTGTCATTTGTCCATCTGGCCCTCCCCAGGCTGCTCCCCCAAAACACACACACACACACACACACACCACCACCACCACCACCACCACCACCCCACACCTTCTCTTTCTCACCACAAGCCCGAGGGCATTGCAAGGCACACTGGGAAGGAGTCCCAGGCTCCTGTCTATCTGGGCTTTAAGGAAGCACAGGTGAGGGCCTATTGGCCTCAGACAGACTTGCTGATGAGCACAGATACATAGTCTACATAGTCTAAGTACTGCCTCTGGGAGCTGAGCCTTTTACCCCTCTCCTTTCCCTGCCCCATCCCATCCCCAGTGATAGGAAAATCTGAGGGCTGATCTCTCCTAATAACCTTGACCCAAGGCTGAAGCCCAAGCCTGAGCAACCTGCCTGGCCCACCTCCTACCCCTGAGCTCCATACCTGTAGGTGGGTACAGACCCTCCTCAGCATGTCATATACACTGTCCCGGGAGAGGAGTGACACAAAGACGTACTGGGACAAAGAAAGCAGAAAGGGATGGAAGATGAGACTTGCAATGCCAGCATTCCCCCTCCATGGGTGAGTGGCCAGCCCTCAGGGATATGGGGCTGTGAGGGGTCACAGGGACCCCTGTCTATGAACCTTGGTTCCTGGGCCTGAAACATCCACAGGAGAGTTTCGGGGTGATAAGAAGCCAAGCCCTGGGACTGTGCCAGAGTCCAGGCTAGTGTTCTTGGGACTGGGTAAGGAGGCTGACCAGGCAGCATTGGCTTCACTCACCTTCTGGCTGGTGTTGGTAGTGATGGCCAGTCCATTGGGAAGAAGTCGTGCCATCTTGTGCTTTTTGATCATTTGTACAGACACCACAGGAATGATCACCTAAAGAGGACAGGCATGCTCCTCTCCAGACCTGTCCCAAAGACGTGGTCCCTCCACTGCCTCCACGGAACCCCAGCCTCAGATGGTAGTGAGATCGTGTGGAGAAGCCTGGTCCCCTCCGAGGAGGTGTCTGACCTTTCTACCTTCTCATCTAGGCTCCCCTTCCATGATCCCCACCCTCGCTTAGGGAGCATGCTGCTCTGGCCTCTCAATGTCACCTCTTATCAAGGATGGTTGAGCTGGTGAATTCCATTTCCTAGCCAAGAGCTACCTCTTGACTACACTTCCAAAACTCCTAACGATTGCCACCAAGTGGATTCTGACTCCTGATGACCCTGTAAGACAGGGTAGAACTGCTCCTGTGGGTCTGAGACTGTAACTCTGTATGGAAGTCACTTATATGTATATATGAGGAGACTTCAAAATTTCATTGAAAAGTAGAATTAAAAGACAACGGGATTTTCCCACAATCATGAAAGTTTTTAAGCCCCTCCTCTATTAAAAGCTATATAAATGTGATGCATGCTCTTTTGTGTGGGTCCAGGTTAAAAAAAATCATGTAGTATGAATGCATCACTTCTGACGAGCGAGCCATGTCTTCCTCCCATGGAGCGGCTGGTGGTTTCAAACTGCCAGCCTTCTGATTAGCAGCCCAACACATATCCACTATGCCACCAGAGCCCTTTGACTACATTTAAACTGCCCTAAACTGGTATCCCACTCTGATTCTGAAAGCATTTCTGAGACACCATAGGCAGAATAATTTGGTCCTGACCAGACCAGCTCAGGCCAAATGTGCCATCTGGTGAGGCCCTGTGCTTGGAAGGCTCAGGGCTGCTTCCCTGGATGCCTCATCCAACCATGGTGAGGCTTCACCAAGTGCCCAAGCAGGTAGAAAGGGCCAAGCAAAACTTCGGATATATCTTTGGGACAGAGGGCTTTGGCCTCACAGAGCCACGGCAGCCTTACCACGCATTACTACCTTGATATCCTTGCCAAAGAGGCTGGCGTGGAAGCAGAGCCAATTGGGAGAGATATAGAGCCGGCCCTGGAGAAGGAGGTCCCTTTGGAGGGCGCAGGAGCACACTAGGGAATCAGAGGAAAGAAGGCAGCCGTGAGCAAGGTCAGCCCAGGAGGTCCCAAGGCCTGAATATGCACACACAAGTCCAGAGTCCAGCCTCAGGGCCTGCCCTCTCAGGCCTACCTTCCCAGTCCCAGGCCCCAAACAATCCCCTCCCTCAACACCCTCACAGATTTCTCCTGAGCCTCCCGATTACAGCACCCCACCCCACCCCCACCCCCATCAGAGAACTAGCCATTCTTCTTTCTCTCTTTCTCCACCCATGAGCCAAGGGGTCTGGGCAGTCCCTGCCCAGCAGTCCCCCCACTCCCCCTCCAAAAAAAATCCTGGGTTCACATCCCCTCAGGCTCTGGGAAGAGGGTCTCACAGCCCAAGTATTCCCCAGGCTGGGTCAGAAGTCTGAGCAGGAAAGAATCGTCTTTCAAAAGGGCAGGGGGAAAAGTAAGATTTGGGAGCCCTGACATTTCCTTAAGAAAGAAAATCTTCATACATTCAACTTCATATCCCAAACCAGCTCAGTCTTATGCATTTGAAGGATACAAAAACCCCAGCCACATCAAAGGGGAGTCGGTGCCTAAATCCATGTTGTGCCTCCGGGGAGGTTCTGGAGGCGAGGACCTGGCAAGGAGAGGGAGCCGCCTCACCTTTGAGAACCGCTTCCTCCAAAGGGATGTCCTTAAACAGCTTGTGGTACTGCTGGTTGTATTTACTCTGGACAGTCTGTGAACACATGGGCTGGGTCTGAGACATTCGGTGAGGGCAGACACCAAAGGAACGAATGCCACAAGGGGCCCCAGGACTTAGCATGAAGCAGCCAGTCAGTGTGGAGGGCTGAGTTCCAAACACAGCACCGTGTCTCCTGGTGACACTGGGTCATGACGGAAGAGGCTGCACCACCCTCACCCAAGAGAGGACGCCCATTCCGGTCTCCAAGAGACTCTGTTTTCTGGTGACAGGCCTGGTGGCCAAGGAGTCCAGAAGCAAAAGTCTGGCCAGCCCAGGGTCCCCTCCCTCTGGGAGAAGTGGGCCTCCTCTCACTTACCCCTTCTCGGCTGCACGTCTTTCTCTCTTCGCCTTTCAGGCCCTCTGGGTGGGGCAGGCTGCAAGGGAGACATTCCATTGCAGGGACAAGGAACCTTCGGGTCCTGCCCATGAGTTCTCAGAGCCAATCTCGCCCTGGCTTCAACCCAGGAGCTTAGGGCAAAGATTAGTACCCGGAGCTCCCATGGAGAGGCTACAAGGAACAGGCTGCTCATCCTTGGGGAAGGACTTGGGTCTCTAAGCGCATCCCCCCTTCTAGGAGATGGGCCCAGTGAGCCCACAGTCTCCCAAAGATGTTTCGGCGCTGCCCTCCCTGGGAGTCAAAGGCCACCTCCCATTGCTCTGGCAGAAGAAGGCCCAAGAAGAAATGAGCAGGAAGGGCAGTGATCCCAGCAGGGTGTGCTCCTCACAGCCTCCCCCGCCTCTGCCGGGAAAGCTCACTGCTCACCTGACCCAAGGGAGACTTCCAAGGTGGAGGGTTGGGCCAAGCACAGGTGGGCAGTGAGCGGGCAGGTAACCTGAGAAGCTGGACTCCTAGGTCCCAGAGGGCTGAGCAAGGCAGGAGTGGGCAGAAGGGAGGGTGGGGGGGGAGATGGAGACAGCCTGGGCCTGCCCTAACAGACCTGCTGAGGGATCCAGGCCCCTAGCCAGACTCCTTCTGTCTTTGACAGGCCTCCTTCTGAAGGCCTCCTACCCCCCAATCTGTATGTGTATCTGACTTCTCCGGGGGGCTCCCTGTACTCTGGGGGCTCCTGAAGCCTGTCTAGTTTCTCGGGGCTAGCCACAGAGCTCTTCAGAGAAGCCATCTTTGTAGGCATCTGCTGGTTGCTCTGGAGACACACCCACATCAGAAGACAGCCTGACGGGGTACCCTGCCCCATTGGGCCCCGTCACACCCAGGGCAACTTGCCTCTGCCCTGCACCCAAACCGACCCTGCTTTTCAAGGTGAGTCTGAAAACTTAGACAGAAGCGTCAGGGCAGCTGACAGTGGGGAGAGCCTCGCACATGATCTTGCCTCAAAGCTTGAAGTCCAGGAACAGCAACTCATCCGGACACTGGACAGTCCAGCCTCCAGCCCTGACCTGGACCTTGAGGAGGCACACTCCTCAAAGGGGGGGATTTTAAGATTTGCTCACTAGTGAAAGCAAAAGCTAACATGACTTTAAACCAGGGGTTCCCAACCTTCCTCATGCCATGACCCTTTCATACAGTTCCTCATGTTGCGGTGACCCCCCAACCATAAAAGTATTCTCATTTGCTACTTCATCACTGTCATTTTGCTACTGTATGAATCGGGTGACCCTTGTGAAAGGCTCATTTGACCCCCAAAGGGGTCGTGACCCACAGGTTGAGAACCGATGCTTTAAACCATCCTGTTCTGGGAAAAGAAGTTAAGGCACACGCCTTTTCAACACTGAGCAGCTGTTGTGGCTACCAAGCAGGAGGGAGACTGCAGAGCTGGTGGGGAAGGGCCTTCTCACACCACCAAGTGGCCTCAGCCACCTGAGTGGAGTCTTAGCCCTACAAGGCAAACAATCTCCAGTATATCCCAGAGAGGAGGCACAGAAAGGAGGAGACACCAGCTCCCCACCACCCCCAGTGGCTGGTGGGGTCCTAAGAAGCTCCAAAAAAACAGGGTCCCCAGCCTCCTGGTGCCTGGCATCTGCGTGGAATCACTAGCAGTCACATTAAGCCCTGATGGAAGGGCCCCAGGGCTGACCAAGGCAGAGAGAACACGGTGATCGGGCAGCGGTAACAGGACCCAAATCCCAACTCTGGGTCACACTCAGCACCTGGGGCAACCCACGTTCCCTTCGTCAAGCACCGATGCTGCCTCGGACCAGGACCTGCCACCAGGATGCTCGGAGGCTCTTTAGTCTGACCCCTTCTTCCCACACCACCATACAAATAAGGAAGCAGGCTCACCTGGCCCAGAGTCACACGGCTAAGAGCCAGGTGATGTCACCCACAATATCACCCTGGCCAGAGCCATCTGGGCTACTGACCTCTGCCCTCCCCAACCTCATGGAAGGACTTGGCATACACATCAACGTATGTTTCCTGCATCTTGACAAGCGACCGACTCTGCTAGCGTTTTGACCTTTTGACTGATTCCCAGGGCGAGTAATTGGAGTGATCCTGAGAATCATCATTTCACATTTTATAAGGTTTCCTCCCCACACCTTTACTTATTAGGTTCGGTGCAGAACATGTGAGCAATAGGGGAAAATAAGATCAAAATCATTCATTACAATAAAAAATAAAAGTTCACAATGATATGATTGTGAATGATGGGGGAGTGTGGAATGGAGACCCAAAGCCCATTTGTAGGCCACTGGACATCCCCTTACAGAAGGGTCGCGGGGAGGAGATGAGCCAATCAGGGTGAGACGTAGCAACGATGAAACATACAACCTTCCTCCAGTTCCTAAATCCCCTCCCCCCCCATCATGATCCCAATTCTACCTTACAAATCTGGCTAGACCAGAGGATGTACACTGGTACAGATAGGAACTGGAAACACAGAATCCAGGGCGGATGATCCCTTCAGGACTAGTGGTGCAAGTGGAAGGTGGTGGGAGGGTGGGTTGGAAAGGGGGAACGGATTACAGGGATCTATATGTAACCTCCTCCCTTGGGGACGGACAACAGAAAAGTGGGTGAAGGGAGACGTCAGACAGTGCAAGCTATGACAAAATGATAATTTATAAATTATCAAGGGTTCAGGAGGGAGGAAGGAGTGGAGAGTGAAGGGAAAAAATGAGGACCTGATGCCAGGGGCTTAAGTGGAGAGCAAATGTTTTGAGAATGATGAGGGCAATGAATGTACAGATGTGCTTTACACAACTGATGTATGGATGGATTGTGATAAGAGTTGTATGAACCCCTAATAAAATGATTAAAAATAAATAAATAATAATAAATACACTTTCCCCTCAAATCACCCAAAGGTAAAATCATCCATAATTTATGCTTGTATCCTGCTTTTCTGGTTTAACGTGAATTCTTAATGGCGCAGTGCCTTCCTGGGATAGAGTCTCAGAAATGAAATCTGTGGACGCAGTGTCCGAACCCGGCCGCCTGCATTTCACCAGAGTGCCTGCTCCCTACAGCCAAACCCTCCCTAGTCAGGCTGTTAGCACCCTCACCTTTGCAGACCTGAGGAGGAATCTGTCATCTTAAAGAGCCTTGGTGCCACAGTGGTTACAAATTAGGCTGCTAACCACAAAGTCAGCAGTTTGAACCTACCAGCCACTCTGGGAAAAGGACAGGGCTTTCTACTCTCAGGAAGAGTGACAGCCTCAGACATCCACTGGGAATTGGAATGGACTCCGTGGCAATGTGCTTGGTTGAACTTTTTTCCTTCCCGTGCTTTGCCCCCCCTGCCCCCCCCCAAAATAATGCCCACTGGAATTTCATCTGTGAATTGTCTGTATGTTTTTATTGGTTTATATAAATGCTATATTTCTTGTGAATCTTAACCCTTGGTTTGCCATTTTTACAAATGTCCTTCATTTTTGCATTGCTGTTGAATTTTGCTTGTGGTCTTTTTTGTTGTACTTGTGCTTCGCCGTGGAGTAGACGCCATCTATCTGTCTCTTACTTGCCTTCTGGTAAGAGAGGTCCCTGTGGAGTGGCATTGCAAGTCCAACCACTGATTCGTTACAGAGTTAGAGCCCTACGAGAGAATGGTGTGGGCTCATACCCCAGCCAAACAGACAAGGGGTTAAAACTGATCTCTGATAAAGAAGGCAGGGCCCTGGCTATCCATTGTTTCCAGGGCAGGGATCCCCCTTATTCAGGCTCCAGAGAGTGCACCTTGAGTTCTTGGGGTTTTCCAGGGCTCAGAGGGACACATATGCTTGGATCTGTGCCCTATTGAGGTAATCACACACAGGGCCTTGGAACCAGCAGCCGGAGAGGCCGTTCTGACTCTTGGTGACTCCAGGAGTCAGGGCAGAGCTGTGCTCTGTTCTAAGGGCTGAATTTTTGGAAACAGATTGCCAGATCACTCGAACCCCCAACCTTCCAGCTAGCAGCCAAGCACAGCAGAGGCTCCATGCTTTATAAACTGGGTAGAGTTATAAACCTGTCTCCAAACATTTGCATAGATTCTAAAACAAATTCAAGGAGGCGAGAACAGGGCTTCCTCAGTGCGAGGAGCTGTCCTTTGTCCCCCCTCAGCTTCCAGCACACGAGGCAGTGCTAAGGTGTCCACCTCCCCAAATGAACGGCAGCTCCACAGTCAGAGACCTTGCCTCGCCCGTCCCAGAATCCCCCCGAACCTGACGCAAGAGCAGCAGACGGCGAGTTCTGAGCCCGTCTCTGAAACCTGTAGGCACTGCTGGCATGTGAAGACAGTGTGAGTGCTGGGGGGCAGGCTGGGCCAGGAACAGCACAAAAGAAGGCTCCCGGCTACCTGCCAACAGCCACGAAAACGGGAGCCACTTGGGAACAAGTCCCTTTCAAATATCTCGTAACCCAAAGAGACCCCTGACATGTGGTCAATGGGATGAGTCTCTGTATTCTGAGGGGGGACAAAGCCAGTCCTTTACGGTTTGCTCGCCAATAAAGTCCTTGGCCCCAAGACCTTGTCAGTGGTCCAAATGACCGTGCCTGTGCTGCCTTCAAAATGAGTTCAACGTTAGACTTTCTGTTCATCAGTCCTGTCCTCTCTCCTATGCTGTTTGCTTGCTGACAGCAGTTGTTAACTGCCATCAAGTCAGTCCCCACGCATGCCGATGCCATGTGGGCAAAGTCCCACTGCCCCCGAGGGTTTTCAAGGCGCCGGGACCTCCTAAACCACCACCAGTACTGTCTTCCAAGGCCCCTGTTGGGCGCGTTCAAACTGCTAACCATTCTGATTGTAGTCCAGTGCTCAACTGTCCTCAGTACCCAAAGATTCCTTTGCTTAGATGAATGGGAAAAGCGAGATGGAAGCAGTGTTGCTGGAAAAGTCTGGGCCCTCAAGAGTTCAGGATCAGAACCGGACAGGCAGGGTCACATCCAACGGTCTATGGAGTCCTGACCCCAAGGGCCAGAAGAGAAGCTTCCTGAACCGGCAGCTGGAGAGTGAGGAATGAGCCCAGCTCAGCTTGGGCTCCCACAGC